GAGAGAGAGAGAGAGAGAGAGAGAGAGAGAGAGAGAGAGAGAGAGAGAGAGAAGAGACAGAGAGAGGAGAGAGAGACAGAGAGACAGAGAGACAGAGAGAGAGGAGAGACCTTGGATGCAGAGTGGGAGAATGTAGTTGCCTTGTCTCAGAAGAACAAAGATGGACGGTTGCATGAACAGTGATTTTGTGTTCTTTCGGTGCTCTGGGAACTAACTGGGCTCAGGCAGCTGGCCCACACTCAGGGGTCTCATGTAATTGCTATCACCCGAGGGCTTCCTCACGGGTACCTGTGTTGGGAACACTAGACAGCTGGGCTGGAACAGCTGGCCTGTCTAGGCCACGCCTCCCTGTGGTCTCTCCAGCCCCCTGCCCTCACAGCAGCTGAAATGTCAGCAGCTGACTTGGCAGGGATGTGGTGGAGCAGGCTGGCACTGGCTCAAGTCTATAAACTTCGTAAAGCCCTCCCCAACCTCACAGCTTGGGGACCTCACCTGGGCAGTGGAGGTGTGTGTGATTCACACTCCAGACAGCAGCCAAGACTGTCAACTTCAGTCTGCCCACTCCACCAGCCAGGACTCCAGAGAAGGAGCTTGACTTCAGTAGAGACATTTTTAGAATGCCACCTGGAAAATCCCTTGGCAATGCCATGCCTTATGACTAGCAGAATTATGGAGCCCCGTGTGAGATAGGAAGTACCATCATAGTCCTTTTTGGAATGACCTCAACCCTTCATTTTTATTTTTATCTACTTGTACTTTTTTTTTCTTTTAACATTTATTTATCTTATTGTATCGGTGTTTTGCCTGCATGTATGCCTGTGTGCCACATGCATGCCTGGTGCCCTCAGAGGCTAGGAGAGGGCATGAGATCCCCTGGAACTGGAGTTACAGCAGTTGTGAGCCACCACATAGGTGCTAGGGAATTCAGCCAGTCCTCTGCAAGAGCAGCCAGTGCTCTTGACCACTGGTCCATCGGTCCAGCCCCAATTGTCTGTCTTTCTTTCTTCTTCCTCCTCCTTTTCTTCTTGAGACCAGGTTTCTGTGTGTAGCCCTGGCTGGCCTGGAACTGACTATGTAGACCAGGCTGGCTCAAATCACAGAGCTCTGTCTGCCTCTTCCTCAAGAGCACTGGGATTAAAGGTGTGTTCCACCACAATTGGCAAGAAAAATACATTTTTTTAAAGAGAAAAGTTAAGGAAAAGGGAAGAGGGGTTAGGTTTGGTGATGAGGCCCTAAAATTATAAGAAGATATGTGGAGACTTTTGAGCAAAGACCTGAAGGACAAATGTAAGCATCACCTGGTGGCAATTGTGCACACCTTTAATCCCAGCACTCGGGAGGCAGAGGCAGGCGAATCTCTGTGAGTTTGAGGTCAGCCTGGTCTACAGAGTGAGTTCCAGGACAGGCACCAAAACTACACAGAGAAACCCTGTCTCAAAAAACTAACAACAACAACAACAAAAACAAATGTAAGCATCATGCTTCTAGTAGAGGGGACAGCCAGACCAAAGGCCCTGAGGTGCGGAGGCCTGTGTAGCTGAGGCAGAGAGAGGGAGGGAGGGTGATGAGATCAGAAAGACATGGCAGATAGTGTGGGACCTTGTGACCCCTGGGGAGGATTCCCCCCTTAGCTTGAAAACCTGGAGTTGTGGAGTGTTCTGAGCTGCCCAGGGCAACACCTGACCCAGCTGCTTCCCCTACCGGACTGTGTGTGCGGAAGGAAGCACAGAGCCAGAAGATGCTGAGAGTCCCTGAGAACTAAGGTTCAAAGGTCATCTCTGACAGGCGGGTAACGAAGGACCTAGGTCGAAGACTAGAATGAGGAGATGTTCCTTTGAGGGAGGTGACAGCAGTGAACTATCACTGACGGGCCAGCAGAGTAGTAACTAGTAGCTTTGCACCACGACAGTCATTGATGACCTTGACATTTCAGGGTGCTTAGAAACAGTTCGCCAGCTGGGCATGGTGACATACACCTGTAACGCCAGCATGTGGGAGGTGAAGGCCGTTCGATTAGGAGTTCAAGGTCAGTCTTACCTACATAGTAAGTTTGAGACCAGCCTGGACTACAGGAAATCCTGTCTCAAAAAAAGCAAAAGAGCCGGGCGGTGGTGCACATGCACTCGGGAGGCGGAGCCAGGTGGATCTCTGTGAGTTCGAGGCCAGCCTGGTCTACAGAGACAGGCACCAAAACTACGCAGAGAAACCCTGTCTTGAAAAAGCAGAAGAAAGGAAGGAGAATGAAAGATTCAAGAGATATTGCAGGCGGAAACCACAGCAGTAGTGCATGTGGACCTTTTGTTGTTAGCCCTTGGAGCTTTGAGATTTTCACTGCATAGTTCAGGCTGATCTAGGACTTAGGATGTCCTGCTTCCCACCCCTGAATTCTGGGGTTACAGGCACGCACCACCGTGCACAGCCAAGTATGGGTCCGGGGCAGTTTTTACTCTCAAGAGGAGCCAGGTGTGGCCTGGATCAATTGTAGAGGCACCACCTAGAACTCAGCAGTGGGGAGCTGAAGTGCAGCCCAGTGATGGAGTCACCGGCCAGCGCGCACAGAGCCCGGAATTACAACCTCGCATTGGGAGTTGGGGATGTGAACAGAGACAGGGGAGTCTGCAAGACTCTGCACAGACAAAGGAAGGCTGTATTCAAGAAAAGGCCTATGGAGCGGAGTCTCTAGTTCAGGAAACAGGTAGCTCCTAGTACACTTCCAGGCGGGAGTAGTTAAACAGTCAGAAAACAGGGTAAGTGGACTAAAAGTTTTCCCTTTTGATCTGCTGTCAGCCATTGCTATGGCTAACCAGTGAGAGTCAGTTAGAAATAACCAGGTGATCCGAAAAATTATCTCAGGGCCACCATCAGGGGTGGAGTGGGATGTCAATGGGGCAGGGAAGTCAAAAATCTAGAAAAAGAGCCAGGCATGGTGGCACACAACTTGAATCCCAGCAGACGCAAGTGGATCTCTGTGAGTTCAAGGCCAGTCTGGTCTACATGGGGAATTCCAGGCCAGCCAGGGCTACATAGTGAGATCCTATCACAACCAAAACCAAACAAAAAACCCACAAAAGAAACAGAAAGAATTTAGGGAAACAAGTCACTCTGGTTCTAGGGACCATCTAACTTCAGTTTGGGGTTTTGTCACTCTTTAATGGAGACGGAGGAGCTTTACAAAAGTGGTATGGCCACTTGGCGGGTGGAGAGGGATCCTGGTCTAGAGGACAACAGTATGGGCTCCACAGGGAAGAGAAAGGGAAGGAGGAAGGGAGAGAGAGGGAGCTGATAATGAACATGAGCGTCTGACTCCCTGGCCGCTGGAAGGGTGACAGGGGTCAGCCTCACGGAGAGGTGAGGCTGCCAAGGAAGACTATGTTTCCTGTGGGTGCAGGCTCAGGGGACTCGGAGTTGGAGTTCAGACATCACTAGGCGCGAAAGCCAAAGGGTCAGGAATGCATGTGAGGCCCTTAAGATCGGCCGTGGAGCTGAAGCTGGGTAAAGAGCGAGGGGCTGAGGGCAGTGGAGGGCAGTAGGGCCACGATTGGAGACCACAGTGGGCTGGAAGGCTGGTGGAACTCTGAGACGCCCGAGACAGTGAAGGACAAAAAGGGAGCGGTGGACCTGCTGCCCCCAACTGAGATCTGCAGTGGGGACTTCGGGAGAGGAGAGGCCGAATGGCCTGGACACAGCTCCAAGGAGCAAGGACACTAGTGGTTTGGAAGGGGCATAAGAGGAGAACCGGATTCTAGAAAAGATGTTTAGAAGAAAGCGACTTTGCTGGAAATACACAGTGAATTCCACGGCCCAAGTAGACTGCACACAGAGCTTTGCTGTTTTTAACAGGTTTCACTATGTGAGACAGGCTGGCCTCAAATTCATGGCAATCCTCCTGCCTCTGCCTCCAAAGTGCTGTGATTACAGGCATGTTCCACCACACCCCGCTGGGACTGGGTTAGATTTGGAGGTGTCTTTGGCCCCAGGCGAACGGATTTGCTCTATCTTGTCTGCAGCCAGGCATCCTGAACCTCGTTACCCAGGGAGGCTGAGCCGCCAACCCCTCGGCACCCAGAGGACGCCAGTGGCGGGACATGGGAGCCCGACCCTCGCGACGGCAGGTGCCCGAAGCTCCGCGCGTGACTCTGGCCACGCTGCCCCCGGAGCTGCTGGTGCAGGTGCTGAGCCACGTGCCTCCCCGCGCGTTAGTGACGCGCTGCCGGCCCGTGTGCCGAGCCTGGCGCGACGTGGTGGATGGCTCGAGCGTGTGGCTGCTGCAGCTGGCCCGCGACCGCAGTGCGGAGGGCAGAGCCCTCTACGCCTTGGCCCAGCGCTGCCCCGCCGACGATGACCATCAGGACGAGTTCCCGTTCTGCGCTCTGGCCCGTTTCTGCCTGCGCGCACCGCTGGGTCGCAACCTCATCTTCAACTCCTGCGGAGAGCGTGGGTCCCGGGGGCGGGGCCTTCTGGCTGTGGGCGGGGCCTACCCCTAGAGAGCGAGTTCTAACGCTTAGGAGGCGGGACCTAAAGCCGAGGGGACGCAGGCAGGGGGCGGGACTGAAGGACAACTAGGGGAGGAGTCCCGGTCGGAGGGCGTGGCCTGAGGCGGGCTAAGACAAAGCGGATTGGGCGCGGGTGGAAGGAGGGGTTTGCATAAAGCACTAAGCGTATCAGAGTGCGCCAACCTGAGAGGGTGGGCGGGGCAAGGCAGAAGGCTGGAGGCGTGCGCAGAAAGATGGGGCTCTGAGACTCAGTGGGTCAGAAAGCTTTTGAAAGCAGAAGCTGGTTGGGTGGCCGGGTCGGTGGGGCCAGGATACAGGAACTTGGAGGATGGGTTTAGTAAGACGCCCCAGATTTGAAATGTACTGGGGCGGGGGGTATGGACAGGGCAAACTGCGAGGCCCCTGCCCCTCGAGGGGCAGGCGAATGCTTTATATTCTGCCCCGTTGTTTTCTACAGAGGGCTTCAGAGGCTGGGAAGTGGAGCACGGAGGGAACGGCTGGGCCGTGGAAAAGAATTTGACAGTGGTGTCAGGCGCTCCTTCCCAGACCTGCTTTGTGACTTCTTTTGAGTGAGTGGCCCCTGGTGCCTAGAGTGAGGGTCCAAAGAGGGGGAGGGACCTACTTCAGGCTGCTTGTCACTCTCCCCTTCCCTCCTTCCTGTGTATATGTGGAGAGGTGTGCTGTGTTTGTGAGTGCAGGTGCCCAAAGAGACCAGAAGAGGGCGCCAGAGCCCCTGGTGATGGCACTCTGGTGTCTTATGTGGTTGTTGGGGATGGAATTCAGGTCTTCCCGCGAGGCAAGCATTTTACCAACTGAGCCGTCTCCCTAGCCCTGGTTTGGAGATAGGGTCTTAGGTAGGCCAGAGTGGCCTCTAACATGCTTTGTAGCAGAGGATAACCTTGAATCTCTGACCTCCAGCATGCCGGGATTCCAAGCGTGTGCTACCACATCACATCTGACTTGTCTTTGTTTTGGTTGTGGTGGTGGTGGTCTTTGTGATACTAGGAAGGAAATCCAGGTCTCCAGGAATGATAGGCAAAGCACTCTTCCACTGGGCCATGGTCTCACTTTTACAGTCTGTTAAGTCCGTCAACATGGGTGTTTTTCTTTCCTCAGCTTATGACAAACTAAAGCACAGAGGAGAGCTAATGTCTAGTAAATTGGTGGGCTGGGAATAGTGACGCACACCCTTATCCCAGCACTCCCAAGGCAGAGGCAGGCGGATCTCTGTGAGTTTGAGGTCAGCCTGGTCTACATAAGTTCCAGGACAGTCAGGTCCACATAGTGAGATCCTGACTCAAAGTAAAGAAATACATACTAAATAAATAGTAGAGTTAGAATTTGAACCCAGATAATCTGGCTCCAGAATTTCTGATTTTTTTTTCTCCTGAGACAGGGTCTCATATAGACCAGGCTGACTTTGAACTTTGTGTAGGTGAGGCTGGTCTTGAATTCCTGATCCTCCTGCTCCACTTCCTATGTACTGGCAGTACAGGCCCCACACCACCATGCCCACTTCCTCTGTCATTTCCGAAGTTCTCACGCATGCCTAAGTTTGTGCTGACACAGCTTTTTCCACTAACAAGCTTCTGTGTTATCTTTGGGGCCCCAGAATCTTGGGAGGCCCCAGAACTCCCTGCTCAGTTGTCTAGTGTGTGGACCTATTTATATACATATCCTGGCCCCGCCAACATCAGGGGTAAGGAGACTATCATGAAGATCAGCCTCCTGGGGGCGGGGCTAGGTGGAAATGGGGGAGGGGATAGTGTGACGGGAGATGCATCGTCCACCACACACCTTCCTGTCCTGAAAAGCAGGGTGATCAGGAGAGACTTCGTGGAGGAAGTGGTTTTAGACTGTGTCTCAGCCCTGGCATCTCCCTCCCAGATGGTGCTTCAAGAGGCAGCTGGTGGACCTGTTGATGGAGGGAGTGTGGCAGGAGCTACTGGACAGTGCCCAGATTGAGATCTGCATAGCTGACTGGTGAGCGGAGGCTGGCGGGGCGCCCGAGCCACAGCGATGCTAACTAGAGTGGGCTGGAGGGATAGCTCAGTCTCGCCCCATCAGCCACAGGGTTGGGCCCCCTTTCCTGGGAGATACAGCTGCAGAACTAGGAGGGAGGAGCCCTGTTGCATCCCAGGCCCGTTCCTGCACTCCTTTTCTCCCTCTTCCCAAGCAGGCAGGCATGGGTTGCGCGCACGAGCCCACGGACTGGCTCCATGCTATCATTCCACTCAGCGCCGGCCCTAAAATCTTGTGGCTAGTCAAGGCTTCTGACGAGTTGGCAACACTGGCCTAAGAACCCTAGCTGGAGGCATTTGGTCTCTTCTCTTGGCCTCTGGTTTCTTCTCCAAGTCAACTCTTCCTGCCTGGGCGTGGCTCCTCCCTAGAGCACTGTAGTTCCACCCGCTCAAAGGAGCAACACAGTCTTCCCGGCCCTTTTCTCAGGCTTGGCTCCGCCCCCTCGTCTTGGCTCTGGCCCCCGACTGGGGCCCATCTTCTAAAGTGCCCAAACGCACTAATGGCTGTGCAAGTGGATAGGACCTTGGTTCAGCTGCAGGAAAGCCCAGCCCGCAGCCTCCCTCCTCCCACCCCGGAGAGCTGGCTGGGGGGCAGGGACCTGAAAACGCACTACCACCTGGCAGGTGGGGCGCCCGTGAGAACTGCGGCTGTGTCTACAGGCTGCGGGTCCGCCTGCTGGATGAATATGAAAATGAAGTGGTCAAGTTCTCGGCCTCACCCAACCCGGTACTTCAGTGGACTGAGAGCAGCTGCCGACAAGTAAGTCCCGACTGCCCTCTAGCTCCAAGGCCTGCGCCCAACAATCACCTTGCTGGGTTTCCCGCTTCATTGATGGGGTCTGTGGTAACAACTGCCAATTATCAATCCCTTAACTACAGTACGTCTCGACCCTGCTCTAAGAGGCTTACTGATTAATCATTTGATTAGAGCATTTATTGAGCACCTACTGTATTCAAGGTACTGTTTAAGGTGCTGTAATGCACGAACCAAAGTCCTTGCCCTGTTACTATCCTAGGGTTGAGAAACTGAGCCACAGAGAGGGTGACTGGCCTTAAGTCCCCAAAGCACGCAGGAGCCAGGCCTGGTGGTACGCACTTCAAATTACAGCACTTGAGAGGCTGAGCAGGAGGATCAGGAGTTCAAGGACTTCTTCAGGTTTAGTGAGTTCAAGGCCAGCCTGGGCTACCTGAAACCGTGTCTCAACATAAATAAGTGGCGGTATGGGCCTTTAGTTCCAGCACTTGAGAAGCAGAGGCAGGTGGGTCTCTGAGTCTGAGACTAGCCAGGGCTTTATAGAACCTCTCTCAATCAATCAGTAACAAATGGGTGAAGGCCACAGTGGGGGAGGGTGCCAAAGTCTGTGGCTCATTATGGCCCACAGAGCCCCACATGGCCTCACACCTGCCTCGCCCACCTCCTGCTTCTCCACTCAGTCTGTGGCAGCCTCTCTTAGCTCACGGTCTCTGCACCGACAGTTGATCGATCGTCTGCAACACTTTCTCCAGAACCTCATGTGGCTCCCAGTCCTCATCTCTCCTCCAGTATCACCTCCATGAAGCCTCTTCATGGTCACTTTTCACCTCCTCCTCCATGTTCATACCTGCCTCCCTCCTGGAGCATGCCCACTGGTCTCCCCGATCACCAGTCTTCAGCATCTAGCCCCCAGCACCTAGAGTATAGCCAGGTACCCTCTGGGTGCTCAGGAGTCTGCTGAGATGGAGGAAGAGGGGCCCACCAGCCTCAGCCTGTCACCCCTTTCCCACAGGTCTCTCATGTCTTCACTGACTTTGGCAAAGGCATCCGATATGTGTCTTTTGAGCAGTATGGGAGAGACACGCGTTCCTGGGTGGGACACTACGGTGCCCTTGTGACCCACTCCAGTGTGCGCCTCAGGATCCGTCTGTCCTAGCTGACCAGCCCTTCAGGACTTCCAGGACGTACTGCCTTCTCCCGGATGGTATTAGTCAAAGGTGGCTTTGCAGCCCGCCCCCAGCTGAACAAAAAAGGGGGATCCTGTGTGGCTCCCCTCCACACTTGCTGTTTCAGCATCTTGGCCCTCCTGCTGTGATACACCAGGGACCTAACCAGCTTGTCTGTAGCTTCCTTCTCTCCTCAAGCAGGGACCACCTTACCGTGACAGGCATCTTCAGGTTACTGAGCCCGAGAACTGCTTCATGTATGGATGCCAGTGGGTAAACTGTGTCAAAACAAAAACAGGCCAAGCCAGACCTGATAGCACACACTTCTGATCCCAGCACTCTCGGGAGAGGTAGGAGGATCATGAGTTCAAAGTCACCCTCAGCTATGTACTGAGTTCCAGGCCAGCCTGAGCTGTGAGACCACGTCAAAAACCAAAACATCCAATAGACCAAGCTCAGAATATAACAAAAGGAGAAAGCGACTTATAAGGAGACAGTGACTTTTTAAAAAACATTTATTTTAATTGTGTGTCAGTGTGTGAAAATGTACATGTGAGTGTGGGAATCCACAGAAGAAACTGGAGTTACAGATGGTAGTGTGCCACACAACATGGGTTGAAAGAGACATTCACAATGATCTCTTCAGTTTGTGTAGACCAGTGGTTCTCAAACTTCCTAGTGCTGTGACCCTTTAACACAGTTCCTCATGCTGTGGTGACCCCCAACCATAAAATGATTTCGTTGCTACTTCCTAACTGTCATTTTGCTACTGTAATGAACTGTAATATAAACATCTGTATTTTCCAATGGACTTCGGCAACCCCTGTGAAGGGCCATTTGACCTCAAAGGGGTGGAGAACCGGATGTGGGGAGCTCAGAGTACACCTTGCAGGAGTGGGTTCTTTCCTTTCACCATGTGGATGGGGGGTCAAGTTCAGGTCATCAGGCTTGTTGGCAGCCTCTTCACTCACCGAGCTGGCTCTCCAGCCCTGGGCACTGTCTCACCTGCACACTTGGGGGATGGGTTGATGGCTGGCAGGGAACAGAGGTCAGCTCGGGCATTCATCCTTGCAGCCATGATGCTCTGAGGAGTCGCAGATCCAGCTGAGGGCCCCTGTACCCATCCACCTGGGGACAATGTCTGTCTTCACTGCCCCGCAGCAGCAGGGCATCTTTCTAGGCTGGCAGCATTTCTCATCAGTTCCTCAGAGACACCCCCACACACACACACCCCATGCCAGGTAACACCCTCCTCTCCCCTGCACTCTCCCCTCCTGCCGAGTTGCCTGGCACCCCTAACACCTGCTCTAAATTTTCCCCAAACTCCCCAATAAAACGTGTTGAGGGGCTACAGAGATGGCTCAGTGGTTAAGAGCACTGCTGTTCTTCCAAAGGTCCTGGGTTCAATTCCCAGGACCCACATGGCAGCTCACAACTGTCTGTGACTCCAGGGATCCAATGCCCTCATACAGACAGACATGCAGGCAAAACACCAACGCACATAGATTATAAATAAATATTGTTTAAATAATGTTAAACAATTATATTAAAGAGGTGTTAAAGGGGCTGGCAGATAGCTCAGAGGTTAGGAGCACAAACTGCTCTTACAGAAGAACCAAGTTTGGTCTCCAGTGCTGCACTAGGCAGCTTACTGTAACTCCAGCTCCCAGGGGAGTCAACACATCTGGACTCCAAGGGCAGCTGCACGTACACACACACACACACCCCTAAATTTTTAATCTTAAAAACAAAAACTGGTGCTGAGGCAGAGGTCACAGTGGAACACCTGCCCAGCATGCAAAGGCCCCATGTGTCCATCCCCAGCACCACATAAAACTGGGCACGATGATTCACGCCTGTAACCCCAGCACTCAGGAGGTGGAGGAAGGATAGTTCAAGGGCATCTTCAGCTGCTGCAGAGGGAGTTCCAAGCTGGCCTGGGATAAATGAGACTGCAGAAGGTGTCCGTCTGCAAGCTGTGCTCCTGTCTGCCTCCAGCCCCGACCCAGAAGTACATGTGGCCACGTGTGCACAATCAGAGACCATCGAGAGGCTGTGTCCGTGCTATGTTTTGGAGGCAAGGACCCAGGCCGGTTTAGATAAGACTCTCCCTCCATAGTCCAGACTGGTCTCAAACTCAAAGCACCTTCCTATCTCGGCCTCTAGAGTACTGGGGTTACAGGTGTGAGCCACCACCACACTTGGCTCCAGGCAGTTCTTAAGGGTCCTTTCTCCAATGGCCTTCTATTTAAGACAGGGTCTCATGTAGCTGCCCCCCAATCTGCTGTCACCAAGGACAGATTTGAACTCATGATCCTCTTGCTTCCATCTCCCAAGTACTGGGACTACAGGTGTGAGCCATGGAGTCCACTTTGCCATGGTTCTTATCAGTTAATGCCATGTAGTCCAGGTTACATTAGAATGCCTTGCCCCAGGTCACCAGGCAGGAACCCTGTGTGTGTGTGTTTGTGTGTGTGTGTTTATGCAGGGCTGGGATCAGTTGAACTCCAGAGTCCAATAATGTAAGCATAACTCCTACAGCTTAAAACCTGTGATCATAAAAGGCCACATTACAATTGATGCCACTACCTAAGGCAGGAAACTGAAGGCCAGAGGCAGGGACTCCCAGGGGCTAGGAAGATGGCTCAGTGGTTAAGAGCACTTGCTGTCTGTTTCTCCAGCCTCCAGAGGACAACCCCAGTTTGATCCCAGTACCGGCATCAGCTGCTCACAATCTCCTGTAACCAGCTCCAGAAGGGCCCCCACAAGCACCCACATACATACAGATTGATAAAATAAAAAATAAATAACAGCACATAGGCAAGAATCAGCAAACCGAGGCATATATAACCCCTATTACTTGGCAGATGGCCACATCTGGGATGGGCCTTCACCCCTCTCGGTGCTGCAAGAACCCACACCGTCACCACCACACACATGTGCGAGCATGTGGAGCATCCAATTAATCATCTTCAGCACCTACAACAGTTCCTCCATCAGGGAACTGAGGTGCAGAGATCGGCATTTGCCATCACAGCCGGGACAGACACAGCACCATGGGTGATGTCACAACCTGCAGAAGCGTTTATTACAACTCCCATCCCAGCATGAGGTCCCACCTGAGCACACTGAATATGGAGGCCAAGGGAGCGGGCAGAGGGGAGCTTCCTCCCAATTCACCAGAACTCTTGCAGGTCAGTAGCAGTCCTGATGAGGACAAGTGAGAGTTGCGCCCAAGACTAGCCGTCCCTGGAACAGGAAGAACTGGTTTCCGAGGACCCAGTGCCTGACCACTGTGAATTATGGTCACTTCTTCTTTTGCACGTGGCCACAGTCATACTTGCCCCTCACAACTTTGAGTTTGACCCCAGGCAGGTCTTGGGTGCGACCGCCCTCCACCAGGACCACATGGTGCTCCTGCAGGGTGTGGCCCTCCCCAGGGATGAAGCAGACGGCCTCTTTGCCCGTGCTGAGGCGCACTCGGCAGCACTTGCGGTTGGCAGAGTTGGGCTTCTTCGGCTTTCTGATGAATGTGCGTAACACCACACCCTTCAGCTGTGGCCGGCCCTCTGTGGGACCCAGACGCTTGGGGGCTTCCTTCGGGCGGCCTAAGCGGTGCATCTGGTTCAGGGTGGCCATAGAGCGTGTGGCCCAGAGTTGGGGACCTAGGGCCAGACCTGTAGAGACACAACAGGGTCTACATGGTTTCCATATTCTAGGGAGGGATCCGAGCCCTTTACAAGGTCCTAACTGCTCATGTCTAGAGGTATCTGTGGGGACAGACAGCTGGCTCAGTGGTTGGAAGCACTTGTTGCTCTTGTGGATAGGGGTTTGATTCCCAGCACCCATGGTGGTAGCTCACAACCATTTGTAACTCTAGTTCCAGATCTGACACACGCCTGTAATGCACTTACATACATGCAGGCAAACACATTCATACCGGGGCTGGAAAGATGCCTCAGTGGTTAAGAGCACAGGTTGTTCTTATAGAGGACCCAGGTTCAATGCTCGGCACCACATGGTGGCTAGCAACAGTTCCAGGGATCCGATGGCCTCTTTTGGCCTCCTAGGACACTGCACATAGGTGGTACGAGTATTCATGCAGGTAAGACACTCATACACATAAATAAGTAGAGGTATTTAGGAATAATACTAACAACAGCTAACCTTTATTGCCATACCCATAATTATGTTCTTATACATTTTAAATCTTTTCCATAAGCTGAGCATGCTGGCAAAGCCAAGCCTTCTCAAAGACTCCACCTAACCCACCATTACCTCCCACTCCCCGTTGGTTCCTTGTTCAAACTGCTCCAGCCTAGGTACCTTAAAAAAAACAAACAAACAAAAAAAAAAACAAACAGACCACTGCAGCTGCAATGTAATATAAGGAGAGGCAGGTGGAAGTACTGGAGGAAATGTTTTCAAGGCAGACCAATAAGATTTATTTGTGGAGCTAGAGAGGTAGCTTCGTGGTTAAGAGCACTGACTACTCTTACAGAGGACCCTGGTTCAATTTCTAGCACCCACATGACATCTCACAATCATTTGTAACTCCAGTTCCAGAGGATCTGATGCCCTGCACAAACATGATGCACAGATGCACAGACATATATACAGCAAACCTTACACACAAAACTGAACACTTAAAAAACAAACAAACAAACAAACAAACACAGATCCTCATTATGTGGCTCTGCCTGTCCTGGAACTCTCTATGTAGATCAGGTTAGATAGTAGATATTCAGGTGAATGAAATCCCTCAGGACACTGCACAACATTTGATGTCTGGGGTATGTCTAAAAACATAAAAGTTCCCCTCCTGTGGGAGGCACATCTTGAATGACTGACTAAAATCCCTGGCTTGGGTTTCTCACCCATAGGAGGTCATCAATAAATACTTGCTGAGACACCTAACCAGGGAGACATGCTGAGAAACGAACATTTGTTGGTATTGTTGCATGAACATCAGAGTGTACTTACAGAAACTAAGACAGAGTATCATTAGCCAATACAATCTTAAGGATTCACCACTATCTATGTGAGGGAGCCATGACAACGATTGACTTAAACTCTGCTGGACACAGGAGCTTCCCACTTCTTGTCCCTTGAGCCGGGGGCGTGGTAGAAAATCCCTGTTAATAACTGGAAAGCTGAAGCGGGTGATCGATCAGGAGTTCAAGGCCATCCTGCCTACAAAGCGAAGTAGAGGCTAACCTGGACTACAGTGAAACCCTGTCTCCAAAACAAAAAAGCACCGTGTTTAAAGCTGACACCACCCGAGATCTGGCAGAAGCCACACAAGTCCCGGTGAGTAGCTCTCATCCAGCCTCGTCCCTGCGGCCCACGCTCACTTACCACGACTGAGGGACGCGGTGAGGCCACGGAGAAGGCCGGGCCAGGACATCTCGCCTTCTGTGCGTCCCTGCGTTAGGACATAAGATGCTCAGAACGGAGGTTGGGAGTCCCACGTCTCCTCTCCAGGGCCAACCACAACAGAAAGTGCCCCCCGCAAATTCAGCCTCCCTCTGAGCAGGCCCCCAGGGACGCAATCGCCCTCGCCTCGATACCGGACCGGGAAAGTGAGGAGGGAAGAGAGAGACGTTTGGAGAACAATTACACCCACCTCCCCAACCTAGGGTCGTAGACACGCTAAATCCTATCTCCAGCCCCTTCCGGGGATTCTCTTTAGCGGTTGGCCACTTCTTCCCTACGCCACGAAAGGGGCGGGACAAAGGTGACAATTGGATAATGACAGGATCTATCTTGGTTCGCTTTTCCTCATTGGAAGGGTTCCTGAAGCCTGGGCGGGACATCTCTTTCCGCGTCTGATTGGCTCGTCCCTGGTGAGTGACTCCTTGTCTCCAGTCCAAGATGGCTGCGTCCATGGCTCGGTTCCTGCGGCCTTTCCTGGCTCGCCAGGGGCTGCGGTCCCGAGGACGCTGCGTGTGCCCCCAGAGCCCAAGGAGAAGCTTCGCTACAGAGAAGCGAGTGCGGAACCTCCTGTATGAACACGCACGTGAGGGCTACAGCGAGCTCCCTTACTTGGACATGGAGTCGGTGTGCGCATGCCCGGAAGCAACGGCGCGCGCCCTGGAGCTCCGCAAGGGGGAGCTGCGGCCGGCCGACCTGCCTGCGATTGTGAGTGCGCCTGCGCCGGCGGCGGGAGCTGGCTGCTCGCCGGACTGGGTTTGCCCTGTGCGTTCCAGGAATGGGAGGAACCACTTACAGGAATTTGGGTTCCTTCCCACGTTAGGCAGTGCCCTGTGCATGGCACCCACTTATGTGCCAGTGGCCCACTGAGAACTAAGGCCCCACTGAACGTCACGGATGCCTTTTGTGGCCTGCACGAC